TTCAATGTCGTTGTCTCACATGTTTCCACTTCAATATACTCAAATTTCCTTAAAGTCGTGACGTGTCATAATGGAAATTTGTGTACAACGGAGATTTGCGATCTGCGATTGGAGATCCGCGAAAAAAAATGCGTGCCGAAACCTAGAGTCGGTGGGCACCACAGGTGGCCTCACCGACTAAATATGTCAAGCCATATTGACCGTGACGGTAGCGGTGCCAAGGAGTAAATAATGCAATCAATGCAGCAATAAATGTACATGCATTGGTCATTGCTGTTTGCAGCGGTAGAAACAGTAGGATATACAGTCTACCCGCGGCACGGAACACAAACTATAAGCTATAAGCAAGTTTAACAAGAGATCCACTTGTGCACTTCAGCATACATCTATGCGATAGCCTGTGAAAATTCCAGAATAAATGCCAATCAGATCTATAGTGCAATAATCGTCCCGTTTCCGTGTTCCAACTTTGAAACATGCTTACAACTTGTGCAAGTTCAGCTTTGTAAACTATTCCGCGCCAATATGTTAATTTCCGGTTCAAAATACTATTCCATGACCATATTTTCTACAATATTCAAACAGACTTCGCTTTTCCCTGCATCGATCGGCAACAACATGCACTAAGCAAGTAGCTAACAAAGTCTATACATGCATGCATGCAAATATTCCGCGGTCAATCTTTAATAGATAACTACTGAGGCCAACGGCATTATTCGATATATTGCAGCCAGCTGAGGCCGAAGGCCGAAGCTGGCTGCAATATATCGAATAATGCCGTTTGGCCGAAGTAGTTATATCTATTATAATTACTGACCCGAATCAAAAGTAATTATTTTCGACTGGAAGACTACGTTGCTGCTTGTTGGGACCGTATGACAATGAGTCTATCCAACGTTACACTATAGACTCATTTGTGAGGACATGCATGTAATGCATCGTGATAGAACAGATTTCAGTTTAATTAATCGCCCTAAATTAAAATCTGCACAAGCGGAGGTCAATTATAGTGTTCTAGTTTACATATTATCATTAATGATAAGGTTAATTCAAAGAGCGTATTAAACTGGATAAACACGGGAATAGAACTTATGGTGTGTTCTGCACATGCGTATATCTAGGATAAAATTCCACAAGCGCAAACGGAACTATTTCTCTATAAAGTTGAGCTGAAAGGACTCACAGCGACTGTTTTGGCAGTGCTTCAGGCGCCCGATGATATTGTATGAGGGGCCTTTAGCACTGTCAACTTCTCATCTTGAGATGTTCACGTTATCGCGTGTACTTGTCAGGATGACGAAGGATTGCGAATAATGTGTGTGTGTGCACTGATACACGCTGCATTATTTTTAATAATGCTGTGTGCACGCTGCATTATTTTTAATAATGCTGTGTGCACGCTGCATTATTTTTAATAATGCTGTGTGCACGCTGCATTATTTTTAATAATGCTGTGTGCACGCTGCATTATTTTTAATAATGCTGTGTGCACGCTGCATTATTTTTAATAATGCTGGGTGCTATTTTAGCTTCTCGACATTCGCTGATATAATGCAGAGAGAAAACAATAGGTTATTATGACCGTCAGTAATTATTTTGAAATAACTTAACGTTTGGGGGAAGTGCACTGAAAACTCGCAGTTGATATTGTTAGAACCTTTTGGGAAATAGTCAATTTGAATTTATGCATGGGAGTTACTTGAGTTTAGAAAATAAATTAACAAGCTACTGAATTTCGAGTATTCCCAGTAGGCGTCGGCTTGTGTCATACAATGCATGTTCAGTATATTATACAATGTCATGCATACACGGAACTTTGTATGGTATATGAACAACCAAATGGAGGTCCTAAATCTCAGTTTTATCAGTTTTATGCAGCTAAATAATGTCTTCAACGCTTTCTTCATGATATATTTGCCAGCCGTATTAACGCATCAATGGAGACTCGACCAATGTCATTGAGAGAAACGTCGACGCTTTAAACTCATTACTTGCCGCAGTTGGGCAGCTTTTTCGTGCGTTCTACTACCTGCTTGTCTTAACAGCATTTATTTGGCAACATGGCGGCTACAGTTCAGGGAGCATATTTTTTTCGTAATCGTGTGCGGAGTATACCGATGTATATCGGTATATCAAACGATTTTTATCGCCCGACTAAAATCGCATCGTGTGCGCCAGGCTTTAGCATACAGCTCCAGCCTCCTGCACGTTGTTGGATATGTCATATGTTCTTAAAACGTCAGTTCATCTCGCGCGATGCTGCGTTTACAGTATAACACTATCCGAAACTGGACCATTTCGTCTATATTGTTCATTTATTAATCAATGTGTCTGACTCGTTTCGGACTCATGCTTCAGTTTTTAGTTCTTAATTAACAATGCTATATGCGTATTATTGCAATGGTGTCAATTTTTTTAGTATTACAAATATATTATGCACATCTTGACTTAACTTTATATTTTTATTAAAAATCAATTGCTTTGAAACGACGGCGTCCATAGTAATTTTAATGATTATAGTGATTTAATATGGTTGCGACGAAGAGATGCGCTTGGGGAACATTTAAAAACGATTTTTGAATAAGAATGGCCATCCTGTATATTTCTATCGCTTCCCAACACCAAAAAGATCGCAAGACTAGCGGTCGCGTTGAATAAAAGCCTGTCATCGAGGTGATAACTTTTTAATACTTGTTATATAAAGGACAGCTATATTATTTTGCAGTTTGCAATGATTTTGTGGGCCACTTGGTGAAACGTCACCGAGTCCCACCAAAGATAAAATTGTCCACAATGATGACTGTGAGTCTTCCACAAAAGAAAATGCAACACAGGTATAAATTATCTCAAATTTACTATATTAAATTGCAGAATAGAGTATATTTCTCAACACATTGCATAATGTAGTTTTCTATAGGGCTAAGATTGGTAAAGTGTGAGAATTTTTAAGTACCTTGTTGGTAAATTATGAAAGGTAGTCAAACAGACAAAATTATATTTTAGACAAAATTCTGTTTGAAAAGTGGGGGAGGGGGGTGGCTATCCCCAGAATTTACACAACCCCGCTTTATAACAGTAACCAAAAACCAATCTCTTCTCATAAATATAGCCATCAAAATCTTAGAATTAAGTACTTTGTCTCTGACAATGGAATATCGCCTGTTTTATATTTGCGTTCTTTTATTACTAGACTTTACCAGTAATTTCTGCAAATGATATTGTATTATGCACCAGTCAGTGGTATACCCCGCACTCCCCTACCCGGGGAACAGCGGGGCATTAGATCAAGACCTTGCTCTAATTCAGTCTAACTCCCCGCTATATACGGGCCACTCTCACTTGCCTAAACGCAAATAATGTCCCCGCTCTCCGGGCCGAACATACAATATCTAAAAAGAATATCAATCTAAAGGAAATAGACCTATTTGATAAATACTACATTATTCGTATACTTAATTTCGCACATCTATTAAACTGGATTCTTTTCAGTTCGACTTGGGTTTTGCTCATTGTTCGGGGCCTCTAAAAACTGGGCCTTTCCCTTTTTACTTAAAATTTAAGTCATATCTATGGTCTATACTGAATGCTTAAAAAAATGGAACATATAAATGGTTTACAATAACTTTCAAGAAAATAAAACGGTGACCTAATAACACAAGAGATTGTCAGTTCGTTCGCAAAATTATCAGTTTGCTTTCATTGCTCATTCCAAGTCCTTTCTCGTTTTCAAGATGGCGGCTATGTCTAATCCCCGATATTAGCCCAGCCAAAGTCCCCGGTACCTGATACACATAACTACATCATGGAAATTAATTCGTAGACTTTTCAAAAATCTACCAATTTCCCCCCCTCCCCGTTTACAATGTTGGTTTGTGGTCCGATAACCATGGTTTGAACCAACATTGTGGTAGGGGGAGGGGGGGAGTTACTATTTCTAGCGATCATGGACGTTTGTATTAACTAAAAATAAAATGGCTTTACAAAATAGTAAGGCAAGATGCGTTTTAAAAAAGTCTACGGATATTATTTCCATGATTGTCTAAATTTAAAGACAAAAATCGCGCGGGGATATTTGGAGAAGCGGTGTATAAATTCTCAGTAAAGCTCTAAAGCATGGCAGATTCTACATGTTATATTGAATATTTATGAGTTTACTTTATAACAGTTCATAGTACAGAAAGATAATCAAGAAACTTACATCATACACTGTCTGCTTTTACTTCAACGGAAAATCTCTTCAAATAATGTAATAGTTCGTTGGGTAATAAAGACTCTTTCAAGCATATACCCAAGATTTTAACGAAAAATTTAATATATGATCCACTGCTGCATCAATTAGCCTGTATTTACAAAACGTAATTCTGCGTAATGACTGACGTAAATAATATTTGAAAGTTAATAATTAAAAGTTAATAACTAACGCATTGTCGTCTATTTTATGAGGGAGATTCAAATTTTTGTCCGTCAACCGAAATGTTGGAGGTACGAGACGTGACTGATTGCAATGACTATTTCATTAACCTCTATATATTACATATAGGACAAGTTACTGCATGTTACTACATGTTACTGTTCATGTTACTATAAGTGTACTACATTTTTACCATATAATTATTTAAATAAGTTCTTCGTATGTTACCACGTCTTACTGTACATGCTACTGCACATGTTACAATCAATTTATTATATTTTACTACATAATCTCAACAAGTTACTACATGTTACTGCTGTTTTCTATAAAAATAGAAGTATATACTTTATATAAAAAACAGCAGTAACATGTAGTAACATGTTGAAATTTTCAACATATTGCTATCTGTTATTGCTGTACATTATATAAAGTATACATACTTTAATAATTATAAAAAAAACATCAGTAACCTGTTCAAATTATATAGTAAAATATAATAAATACATAGTAACATGTGCAGTAACATGTACAGTAACATGTGGTAACATGTGCAATCCCTATTTAAAATTTGTTTATATCATATCTCACACTCTTCCTTCTATGATAATTATAACAATTTACTGTTACAACGAAATAAGCACTACTCTGTTACACAAGGGTTGCCGAGCGGGGTATGTTGGAGTGTGACCCTCCCCCCCCCCCACCACCAACTTCTTCGAAAGCTTGTCGGTAAAATGGAGATTATGTAGGGAAAACTGTGACCTGTTGGCAAATAAGTTGGTAAAATAGAGTTGGTTGGTAAGGCGAAGAGGCTGTAGAGGAACACCCCCACCTCCCTCGATCCCCCTTTGGGTCGCTATGGTCTCTGTACGTCACTGCTGTTACAGTTGACATCAACAAATAGGGCAGTATTACACTTCCCATAATAAGATATATTCATAAAAAAATTGCATGTCTTGTTATGCAGATTATTATTACCACACAAACTTCAACCGCATAAATGCAATGAAATTTCGGATATAATTTAGCTGTAGCAGCAACGTTTATTTAAATAAATTAATACGGTTACATGTATATGTAAACTTCAAATATATTTCAAGGAATTCAAAGGCAAACTTTATGTCATAACTTACTTAACATATTGAAACGGTCAAAATTAAATGCTTTGAGGTATCCCGTCGCTAAACAGTTTGCGCACACCCCCCTGATGCCTCCCCCCCCAAAAAAAAGTACACAGCAACCTTGCACATGGTAAATAAAGTAATTTCAGTCAAAAAGAGAATCAGGTATTATAATATAGTAACCTTTGTTTCGGGTCGAAAATGACTAAGTGCCGTATTTTTATAGACAGTCTAAATTTAAAGACAAAAATTGTGCGGGGATACTGGAGAAGCGGTGTATAAATCCTCATTAAAGCTCTAAAGCATGGCAGATTCTACATGTTATATTGAATATTTATGAGTTTACTTTATAACAGATCATAGTACAGAAAGATAATCAAGAAACTTACATCATACACTGTCTGCTTTTACTTCAACGGAAAATCTCTTCAAATAATGTAATAGTTCGTTGGGTAATAAAGACTCTTTCAAGCATATACCCAAGATTTTAACGGAGAATTTAATATATGATCCACTGCTGCATACAATTAGCCTGTATTTACAAAACGTAATTCTGCGTAATGACTGATGTAAATAATATTTGAAAGTTAATAATTAAAAGTTAATAACTAACGCATTGTCGTCTATTTTATGAGGGAGATTCAAATTTTTGTCCGTCAACCGAAATGTTGGAGGTACGAGACGTGACTGATTGCAGTGACTATTTCATTAACCTCTATATATTACATATAGGACAAGTTACTGCATGTTACCACATGTTACTGTTCATGTTACTATAAGTGTACTACATTTTTTACCATATAATTATTTAAATAAGTTCTTCGTATGTTACCACGTGTTACTGTACATGCTACTTCACATGTTACAATCAATTTATTATATTTTACTACATAATTTCAACAAGTTACTACATGTTACTGCTGTTTTCTATAAAAATAGAAGTATATACTTTATATAAAAAACAGCAGTAACATGTAGTAACATGTTGAAATTTTCAACATATTGCTATCTGTTATTGCTGTACATTATATAAAGTATACATACTTTAATAATTATAAAAAAAACATCAGTAACCTGTTCAAATTATATAGTAAAATATAATAAATACATAGTAACATGTGCAGTAACATGTACAGTAACATGTGCAGTCCCTATTTAAAATTTGTTTATATCATATCTCACTCTTCCTTCTATGATAATTATAACAATTTACTGTTACAACGAAATAAGCACTACTCTGTTACACAAGGGTTGCCGAGCGGGGTATGTTGGAGTGTGACCCTCCCCCCCCCCCACCACCAACTTCTGCGAAAGCTTGTCGGTAAAATGGAGATTATGTAGAGAAAACTGTGACCTGTTGGCAAATAAGTTGGTAAAATAGAGTTGGTTGGTAAGGCGAAGAGGCTGTAGAGGAACACCCCCACCTCCCTCGATCCCCCTTTGGGTCGCTATGGTCTTTGTACGTCACTGCTGTTACAGTTGACATCAACAAATAGGGCAGTATTACACTTCCCATAATAAGATATATTCATAAAAAAATTGCATGTCTTGTTATGCAGACTATTATTACCACACAAACTTCAACCGCATAAATGCAATGAAATTTCGGATATAATTTAGCTGTAGCAGCAACGTTTATTTAAATAAATTAGTACGGTTAAATGTATATGTAAACTTCAAACATATTTCAAGGAATTCAAAGGCAAACTTTATGTCATAACTTACTTAACATATTGAAACGGTCAAAATTAAATGCTTTGAGGTATCCCGTCGCTAAACAGTTTGCCCACACCCCCCTGATGCCCCCCCCCAAAAAAAATTACACAGCAACCTTGCACATGGTAAATAAAGTAATTTCAGACAAAAAGAGAATCAGGTATTATAATATAGTAACCTTTGTTTCGGGTCGAAAATGACTAAGTGCCGTACTTTTATAGACAATCATGGAAATTAATTCGTAGACTTTTCAAAAATCTCCCAATTTCCCCCCCTCCCCGTTTACAATGTTGGTTTGTGGTCAAATAACCATGCTTTGAACCAACATTGTGGTAGGGGGAGGGGGGGAGTTACTATTTCTAGCGATCATGGACGTTTCTATTAACTAAAGATAAAATGGCTTTACAAAATAGTAAGGCAAGATGCGTTTTAAAAAAGTCTACGGATATTATTTCCATGATTGAAGCTGTGATAAAATTTTTGTCTAGACTTGTTGAAATCTAAATTTTAGTCAAAAGGTGAAAGGTCCATTGAAAGGGCTGAAATGTGCCTTAAAAACCATCAATCAAAAGGTGAACTGTGCCTTTAACGATGAGTGGAAATTTGCATTTAAAGGCACAGTTCAGCCTTTTGAATGATGGTTTTTAAGGTGCATTTCAGCCCTTTTAATTGAAAAAAACTAATTCTTATGATAAATATGAGAGCCCAACATATAACTTTTAAACAAAGCCATTAAAACAGTTAAGATTTTAAAGAATTTTTATTGTTACTAGATAAAATTACATGAGATTTGAATATATATAAGCTAATTATAATCTATTTGCAAGGTGTTATGTTACTGAGGATAATAAAGGATAAGAGGGTGTATGTATGACAGGCCGATACAAATGAGGAAACAAAACAGACACAAGACAACAGCAAATTACAGAAGGTTAAGCGGAATAGAGCTGCCCTGGACGTTAAGAGAGGGTTTGACGGCTTAGATATAAGAAGACTTTCGTGAATCAATAATTCACGTGCACAAGTGTCTGAGCAAGAGGAAATGTCTAGTATTTTCTCTCACTTAAATACTACAGGTCACTCTGCCAACTTTGACAACTTCAAAATTCTTTCCTCTTTGCAGACACTTGTGAATTATTGATTCACGAAAGCCTTCTTATATCTAAGCTCAAACCTTCTCTTAACGTCCAGGGCAGTTCTATTCCGCTTAACCTTCTGTAATTTGTTGTTGTCTTGTGTCTGTTTTGTTTCCTCATTTGTATCGTCCTGTCATACATACACCCTCTTATCCTTCATTATCCTTAGTAACATAACACCTTGTAAATAGATTATAATTAGCTTATATATATTCAAATCTCATGTAATTTTATCTAGTCTGAAGATGTCTTAAGGTAATTCCGCAGTTTTGCATTGCGCACTTTTACTGCGCACATCTTATAACTTATAATTTCATCCATTATACGTACCGTTTAAAAAAAAATATCGTTTTATGACAATTTTATGTTACTTCAAAACATCTTTGGTTACATTCGTGCAAAGAATTACGTTAAAATCAATGTTTTCATAAAAGGCATACAAAAGTGTAGCTAGGGTTCCCTGTGTCTGTAGTATATATTTATTTACTTGTATTTCACGTTTTAATGCCACAATTCCCTAAAAAGATCGGTGACCCCCGTTTTTTAACTGATAATTTATTTCTTTAATGCATTTTACATTTCATATCGGAAATTAAAACTGAAAATCATTCCTGGATCTTGAAAAAAAAAAGCTTTACAATGCATGTTCTCAAAGAAAGATATGTAAAGAAATGTGCAAAAGTCATTTGTGGATCAGAATTGTACACGTTAGTAGTTTCATTTTGTTCAAAACACAATATTTTTTCAAAAATAATTACAAGATAGCATTACTAAAGCAAAATCCGCGCTAAAATCGTCGATAAATATCGGGCTGTTGTGAGTTTGCTGTTACTCGTAATGAGCATCAAGATGGCGCCATATTGGGGGTAAAGGTGGTATATTGTGATTGTCATATCTTCTTAACGAGTTCGGTGACCCCGACTTTTTTGTGTGATTTTACTTTAAGTATATCATAAACTCCATATCTGGGAAGTTTCAGCACATTCTCATTTCAGTTAAAGACGAAACGTTACAATAAAAATTCTTTAAAATCTTAACTGTTTTAATGGCTTCGTTTGCTATATATATATATATATATATATGCTGGTTGTGCGATCAGTAAGAGACATGTTTTCGTTTATTGTTGCAACTGATCTATTATATATAATTAAAAAAGGTAAAAAAGTATACTGAATTTTCGATCACTAACTGCGACCTTCCTCAGAGTTAACTAATGTCAAGTTGATTGAACAAGTTTTAAATACTTAGCGTATGCAAATTTACAAGGTATGCAACAAAGGCAAATAAGTTTGCGGGAAAATTCTACGCTCATTAACTGCCATTGTCTCCTTTGTTGAGTGTAATGACTCGAGAAATATACGTTTATCATAATTATGTACGCCCCTCTCTAAAATTTCTACATCCCCAGAGCATACTTCGTGTCCAGTTCGTTCTGCATGTTCCTTTATAGCCGACTCAATCTGCGGTCTTGTTCCCGGTTTATGTTCAGCCCAACGGGATTTCCATGATCTTTTACTTTCTCCAATGTAAAGGAAATTACATGTTTTACATTTGAATTTGTAAACAATGCCTTTGACTTGAGTTTCTGATGGTCTGTCTTTCGGTTTTTTGAATATTCCACCCAATGTTGTTAGTGGCTTATACGCTGTTCTGATATTGGCACCAGTCAAGATTCGGTTGACTCTCTCAGAAACGCCTTTGACATATGGAATACATGCATAGCCTTTGGGCTCAGTAACAGAAGCTGGTTTGTTCGAACTTTCGGGTTTACTTGCAACACTGTTTATAAAAGCAGATGTGTAACCATTTACACTTAAGGCCTTTCGAACATTTTGTTTCTCAGCTTTTTTCCCCTGGATAGTATTCGGAATTTTATCAGCTCGATCAAGCAACGTTTTAACCACTGTAGCTTTGTGTTGTTTTGGATTGTGTGAGTCGAATGATAAATATTTGTCCGTATGTGTAGCTTTTCTGTGTACAGCCACCACCACGTTTCCGCATGGTCTTGACAACAACTTCCGTATCCAGGAACGAAATGACGTCATTATCGCCCACCGTCGTAGGTAACTTAATGGTGAATTGAATGCATGGATTTATCGAATTCAAATGGTCGTGAAAACTTTGAACGCAGCAACGCTTTAGACAAGAATTGGAGTCG